GACACCTTGGTGAACACACACCCTGATATGTTTAAAACATTTGCCAGCTGTAAAATGCCTTTTTTAAGCCCCTTTATAAAAGAATATTCAAGTTGGGGATTGTGCTATTATGAATTTCTGGAACAAAAGTCCTGGAGGCGACAGCTGCTCTCTTCCTACTGTTGTAACAGGAACTTGGCAGCATTGAGATGGGCCTGAGGATCTCCCTGGGGGTAACCCACTAAATTTAAGAGCAGAGTCCACCAAGTCCTGACCTATGCATGATCCAGAGATCCCCTAACAGGTATAGATAATCCCATGGGTTGGGCTGAGGAACCTCTCCTTCTATGAATTACACTAGAAGGAGACAGAGACAGAAAAAGAGAAAGAGAGGTGGAGATAGAAACTGACAAAGAGAGAGACTGAGACAGAGGGACGGAGCGCTCTCCAAGGTCCTGGACAACATTCCCTATGTATCTGATGGCCCCTCTCAAAGGCAGTTGCCCAGGGCAGACATACTGCTACTTCCCTAGGGTGTGACTTGGCATCTGGAATACCAGGAAGAACTTGGGCCAGATACACACGGGTTTTAATGTCCAAAGGAATAAGGCAGGGATTATCCAAAGGAGAATAATAATGGACATTTTTGGCACAGAACTTTCCGTCAGGTGTCTGGTTTGCTAAGGAAACAACATATTACTACAGGGAGGCACTCAGAGGGGAAGGCCACATCTGCAGCTTGAACAATTTACACTCAAAACCAAATTGAGGGCTGAGGTTATACCTCAGTGGTAGAGCACTTGCCTTGCATATGTGAGGCACTGGGTTCTATCCTTAGCACCACATAAAAAATAAATAAAGATATTGTGTCCATCTTTTAAAAAAATCTTTAAACAAACAAACAACAACAACAAAAACAAATCAAAGGAGTTGGGGGAAGGCAGTATCAGTTCCATGATTTCCAGCTTTGTTCTAAAGGGCAAGATTACCATAGTTCACATCTTGAATGAACACTGAACCTCACCCCCCCACCATTTGCTTCTATCATCATTGGAAGAACCAGTAAGTAAAACATTTTATTTTTTTATTTTTTATTTTATTTAAAGAGAGAGTGAGAGTGAGAGAGAGATAATTTTTTAATATTTATTTTTTAGTTTTCGGCGGACACAACATCTTTGTTTGTATGTGGTGCTAAGGATCAAACCCGGGCCGCACACATGCTAGGCGAGTGCACTACCGCTTGAGCCACATCCCCAGCCCAGTAAAACATTTTAAAATGTAGGCTACAGTAATACAATTACACCATTTATGTCCTCTATTTATTATGTTCTTTGTCACAATGAATCAATGAAGTATTATTATATTCATTTCATATCTGCATAATTGAAGATATTAAGGGACAAATAACAGGAATATGTAGAAAGAAAGTACTGAGGGTGAATTTGCACCCAGAGGGGTCTAGCTCCAAAGCATGCACACTCTTAGCCATGTTATGTTTCCTAGTTTCTACTTTCCACACTTTCTCAGAGTGGCCGCATTTTCAGTCTCAGTCAAGTGGCCCTGTGAGCCAAACCTCCAGAAGGAAATGATACAACACAACTCGAGGTCTAGTGCCTGAACATTTTGGGTATACTGTTTGCAGAAATGAAACCTATGTTGGTTTAAGTCACATGAACAGAAGACCTTTCTTAAAAAACCAGAGCCTCAGGCTTGCAAATGTCTGAAAGAGGTACCTAATCTTCATTGGCTACGGCCATACCACCCTGAACGTGCCCGATCTCGTCTAATCTTCATATACATCTTAGAAATTCTGACTGTTACAAGTGTCAGACTAAAATCCATTTTGCATGAGGATCTTGCTTAGAAAAATACTACAAAATATTCTTAGGATTTCCAATAAAGTCTGGAAATTAAAAGTATGTAATTATCTTAGCTTCTCACTGAAATGACTCTAAAATGACAGTACAGAAATCTAAAGGAATAAATCATACGGACAAAGAGAATGAGAAGGGAGAGAATAGGAAGCAAGGTTACCAGAAGTAATGAACAAGTGATAACTCAATAGAGAAAGTCAGAACCCAACTGCTTTCAGAGGGACAGCTAATGAGAAACAAGCTGATTTGTGCCATGAAGCTCCCAAAAGATTCTGGGTTTGGAGGCACCAGGTACCACTGAAGGCAAGGATGAGGAGCAGGGCCAAAGACAAGTTGATTGGCAGAAGTCTTCATGAGAAGCATTTACACCCCAGTCCTGTCCTTTATCCTACCCATGGAATCAGGTAGCCAGCCCTCTGATGCCCACTAAAGGAAACAAGAAGTGCATTCCTTAGGGAAACTGAACCATGCATTTCTGGGTCTGGAGACACAAGGTTCTAATGAGTAAAGCACTAGATGAAAATGAGAGAATTCATGAAAGTCTGCATACTAAATAAAGGCCCTTCCTTCACCCTCTCCAGAGGCTGATAAGTTTTTTTTTTTTTTTTTTTTTGGAGAAAATAAAAAATGCCAGATGTTATAGTTTGGATATGAGGTGTCCCCCAAAAGCTCACATGTGAGACAATGCAAGAAGGTTTAGAGGAGAAATGATTGGGTTATGAGAGCCTTAATCCCATGGTGGAATTAACTGAGTGGAATCTGAAGGCTGGTGGGGTGTGGCTGGAGCAGGTGGGTCACTGGGGAATGTATTTTGTATGTGGTGAGTGGAGTCTCTCTCTCTGCTGCCTGATCATCATGTGAGCCACCTCCCTCTGCCACATTCTTCCACCCTGATATTCTGCCTCACCTTGAGCCCCAAGGAATGAAGCCAGCACTCTACGGACCAAGACCTCTAAAACTGTGGGACCCCAAATAATCTTTTCCTTCTCTACATTTGTTCTGGTTGGTTCTTTTAGTTGCAGCACCAAAAAAGCTGACTAAAACACCAGAGAAAGACTAATCTATGATGATAATTGAGGGCTGCTTAACAGAAAGTCAAAACCCTGATTAAATTATTTTATTCAAAAATTTTGGATTTTCCATTTCAAAATTATTTGACGTACAAAAAAGCAGTAAATTCTTACTTAGAGTTACCGTATACCTTTCACTCAGCTTCCCCAATTTATGTTTTACACAGCTAGAGTACAATTATCAAAGACATATAATTAAATTAGCATTGCTACCATACTATTAATTAATTAATTTATAATCCTTATTCTAATTTCATCAGTTTTCCTTCTCTGAAGTCTAGGGTTTAATCCAGGCCCCCAGGTTGCACTTAGTTGTCATAACTCCTTAGTCCCCTCCAGTTTAGGACAAATCTCCATTATTACTTTTGTCTTGAATGACTCTTTCAGATATGATGATATTATCATGTCTACAACTTGCTTTTAAATGGTCTAGGAAAAAAGTTCTTCCTATTGTATCTATGACTTTTATGTAAGTTTGTGTTCGTTTTAAAAATTTAAAAACTAGTTAGGCATGATGTTGCACATCTGTAATCCCAGTACTTTGGTGGCTGAGGCAGGAGGATCCCAAGTTTAAGACCAGCCTCAGCAACTTAATGAGGCCCTGAGTAACTTAGTGGAACCTGTCTCCAAAAACATAAAACCAGGCTGAGGATGTGGCTCAGTGGTTAAGCCCTGGGTTCAATCCTCAGTACCAAAATAATAATAATAATATAATAAAAATAATAATAATTAATAATAAAAGTTACAGGGGGTTGTATTAGTCAGCTTTTCATTCCTGGGACCAAAATATCTGACAAGAACAACTGAGAGGAGGAAAGTTTATTTTTGATTCCTGGTTTCAGAGGTTCAGTCCATGGTCAGCTGACTCCATTGCTGTGGACCCAAGGTGAGATGGAGTTTGGTATCATGGCCAAAGGGCCCAGCAGAGGAAAACTGTTCAGCTCATGACAACTAGGAAGTGGGGGGAGGTAGAATAAAAGGTTTCAGGGAAGACGTACCTTTGAGGGCATGTCCTAAGTGGCCTTCAGCCTCCTTCAGCCATGCTCCACCTGCCTACAGTTAACACCCAGTCAATCCATTCAAACTAGGATGGACTGATTGGGCTGCAGCTCTCACAATCTAATCATTCTACCCCCAAACATTCCTGCATTAACATGGGAGCTTTTGAGGGGACATCTCATATCCAAACCATAATAGTCTGTGAAACCATAAAAGAAAAAATTTTTGAAGAAGTTAGGAGTTTGGAAATCCAATATCTGAGTTCCAGAAAGATAAAACAGAGTACACAGAGTGGGGGACAAAATATCAAAGAAGCATAAAAGAAGAAAATGTCCTAGACTATAGGACATAGGCTCTCAGGTCCAAAGGCCCACCAAGCACTGAACTTAATATATGGAGAAGACCAAGGAATATCATCATGAAGTTTTAGAGCAATAAAAAAGAGAAGGCACAAAGTATTTCTGAAAGAGTTAAAAAAAAAAGTCTTATGCTCTTTACAAGGCAATTTTTGGCTGAAGGGTACATCATTTCTCTTTGCCAAGCCTCAAATCAATAAAATTCTTTTTACGAGACAGTGACTGAAATGTTCAGAACTAGAAGAGACACACATCAATCAAAAGGGGTTTCTTCAACAAAATCCCGCTGTTTTCTACTGCAGATCATGTTGAATTATAATCAGATAATACTCCTTAGTTTCTCAGACTTTTTCCTTAATGAGAATGTTTCTTGAATGCTATCAAAAGTCCGAGTGGACATTTGAGATCTGCCTGTCACTTGTTTGGGGAAGAATGAATGAGAGATGCTTGTTCAAATATAAGGTTCCTAGACAACAGCTTCCAGTGACAAGCCTCCCTTATTTATACCCAAAAATGAAGCATAAAAGCATACGACTGAAGAGATGCCATACATTTGAAACTTTTTCTTTGTATTGTGGGGCTCTAAGAAGTAGATGACTTAAATTTTCTAATAGACATCTACAAGGTATTGATCATGTCAAAGTTCTCATGGCATATAGAAGGCCCAAAGAAGAAGGCCTCCCAATCCCCAGCATGGCTTATTTCTATTCCCTCATTTTTACCTAGATTTTCTCCTGGGAATGTTGTCCCACGGTCTCCAAGAATCGGTTCTCCAAATCCACACATTCCCACATGAAGGATGCTGCTGAGAATCCCTGCCACACACATAAAGGAAGAGAACCAGAATGTGTCAGTGAAAGAATTCCCCACGCAAAGACACTTCGCCGGGAGAATTCCAATTTTATTGCAAAAAGCAGTGTGCTTATATAGAACTAAGGGGGAGATGGTAGGGCTTAGATAAATGGCAGGCAACCCGTTTATTGGCAAGTTCTTTCAGATATCAGCTCCGGAGCCCAGGAATTAGTTCTCATTGGGGCTAAGGTTCCCCGCCAGCGAGATTTGAAATTGGCGCCGGCGGGAGAGTTCACACGGGCGGGAACTTTTTGCGCCACTGCAGAAAAGAAGAAGGTAGGAAGAAGAGGTGCTTAGGCGCCATGTTGGGTTTTTTTTCTCTGGGGTATGGCTGCCGTTTATACTTTTCCCAACAGTCAGACTTTCCAACAGTCAGTCTGTCCTCCATGGGAAGGCTAAGACTGACCTCCATGGCAAAAATAATAGCTGTATTTTAAGATTAGAGTTGGAGGAAAGGGAGAGAGAGAGAGCTATGATTCTGAACCTTCAACTCTTCAACAACTGGCACAAAATACTCAGTGCTGTCAAAAGCACAAAAAACACCTATGCAAGGCACACCCCCCCATCTCTGGTAAGGGCTTTTAAGGAGAGGAGGCCCCACTGGGCAGATGGCCCCAGGCTCACAGTGCTGGTTTGGCCCTTCCTCAGGGAAGACTCAAGCTAATTAAAAGAACTTCAAGTGGATCCATTCTTCACTTTTGACTCCCTCAAACCAGTACCTTTGTAACCCAAATCACAAAATGCTCAACATACATGATGGCCCTGGGCATTTGGCTGAACTCAGTCCTTAGCTGGTGAGCTAGCTGGAAGCAGGTCAGGTGAATTCTTCCCCAAGGCGTACATCCTGACTTTTTAAGCTCTCCCATATTTCTTGAATGTTCTGCTCATGGTTTCTTACCTTTATCACCGTGCGGGCTACATTCTTTTCAAAGATTATATATTTTGTGTTCATTGTCTGAGGTCCTGTCTTCCAAGTGGTCTATTCTGTTGGTGATGCTTTCAATTGAAATTTTAATTTGGTTCATTGTTTCCTTCATTTCAAGGATTTCTGTTTGGTTTTTCTTTAGAACCTCTATCTCCCTATTGAAATAATCTTTTGCTTCCTGTATTTGCTTATGTAGCTCTTTGTCAAAATGATCTTTTGCTCCCTATATTTGCTCTCTTATATTATCCTTTAATACACAGAACATTTTAATTATGTACATCCTGAATTCCTTCTCTGTAATTTCTTCTGCTGTGCTGGTCATGGATTCTAATAATGTGGTATCTTGATTTGTTTGGGGCACTTTCTTCCCTTGTCTTTTCATGTTGCTCTGTGGATCTGAGACATTGCTGTTTTTACCCTATAGGCTTATAGCACCCCTGTAGGGTTCCAATACCTGTCCTTTGAGGGGAAGGACAATGTTAACAGATTCCCAATATAAACAAAATACCATCTAAAAACAAATAGTTGTTATTAAGATGTTTACAGTGTGGTCACAATGTACAGAAATAGTAAACTCAATTATTATCTACAATATAATCAGTAGGTGTGTAAAGGGTTACAGTTTCTGATGGTGGACAAAGAACCAGGGGTGAGGTGTAGGAAGATATACTGAGGAGGTAGGAGATGAGGATATTGAGTTATTATATCTTAGAAAGTGTTGAAGAGAAATCTAAAGAAGAAGGTTAGTAGCAGGAGAATAGAGAGGTAGAAATTTGGGGAAGACAAGTAAGTGGGAAGACAGTAGAGTACACAAAACACATATATATTAAGAAAATAAAAAATGTTAAAATAGTAAAAATTGGAGAGAAAACAACAACAACAATCAAAGAATATACAACACAACTGTAATATACTATTCAGTCATCTCAGTCCTCAATATCCTAATTCATGCAAAATACTTGGTTTCACATATGTTGGAGATGTGAGGGCGGGAGAATAAAGAGGGAGAAGAAAGAAAAAAACTCAAAGGAAGAAACAAGGATTGTTTTGGTTGGAGATCAGTGTCTTTCCTGCTTCCCTTCTCATTCAGTAGGTGAAGTTGTCTGTTCTTAGTTAGTGTCTCCACACTCAACATGGGATAGGAAAGTTGGTCTTGGGTGCAGGGCACCTGGAGATGGGATATGGCACCCACTGGTCCCTTGGGAGACTGCACCTCAAGGATCTCCTTTGGGGTCTGCTCCTATGATGTGGGCGCTGGGTCTTATCTCCTCATCTTGCCTGTAGACCTCACAGTTCCTGCCCTCTAGATCAGTCTCTAAGTGTATCTCCTTCACCCTCTCCCTTTCTATTTGCTAATCAGGAACCTTTCTCTCCAGGGGTCTTGTGTGTTGCACTCTGGTGGCGGCACACCTGTCACAGAGGGCTGTTTTGAACTGGGCAGTCACTCTGCTGAGTTAGCAGCTTCTGAGGATTGGGGGGAATTAGAAAACTATGGGTACCTGGCTATCTGGTGTTCCAAACTGGTAGTTGTCATGACTAAAGATGGTGATGGAGGTGACCCAATATGGAGTCAGCTGCTTTCAGCAATGGGGTGTTGGGTCGGGTGGGGGGAGCCAGGCAATGTCGTTGTGCGTTCAGAGATGAGCTCTGGCATGCAGTGTCGTGGCTGTCAGCTTTCTTCAGGGCCTGTGATGTCCCCAGGTGCAAGCAGACTCCTGGAGTGGGGGACTACGGCAGTAGCTGCGGAGGACCAAGATGGAGGCAACCAGGGGAGCCCCGTGTTGGTAGATGGGGGCCCACACATGAGTGGTGGCCGGAGTTCCTGCACATGGGTAGCAGCTGAGTGTCCTTCATGGAGCGGTGGCGCCTGGGAATTCTGTGCAGGTGCTGATGCTGGTGGTCCTGCTAAGGCACCCATGAGACCTGCGTGGGCGAGGAGTCAGGAGTCACTTCCTAATGCTGAGGCACAGTGGCTGTGATTCCTGCACAGGATCAGCTGTGGAGGGGTCCTCTATCACTCTTAGCAAAGCAGTATTCCCACTAGTTGAAACCCAGGTCACAGAGGGACACAGGGTGCTACCTCCCTCTGGCCCGCCATCTTGGATCCCTGACTTAAGTTCTGGTTCTGCCTGTTCTATTCTGAAAAGAGACTGAACAGGGAGGGAAAAAAAAAAGTGACTTCCCTCCTGAGCCTTAAACAGCTGGTCCAAGAAAATCCCTGCATTCTTTCCTTCTGCTCCACATTAGGTTGTGCTTGCACGTCACCAGCTGGGGAGCCTCTTTCCCAGCAAGATGCTGCCCCAGGCCCACCTTACCACAACTTCTAGAAAGAAAGCCATATGGACTTTCTCTCAAAATAATCCAATTAGGAAGAGGAAGATGACAACAGGAGGAAGAAAGCACAAAAATGCGACTAAAAGAAAGACTGCAAAAGGATATTCTCCTAGGCAACAAGAATTTTTATCTCCTTTCCTTCTCCCCTCCCTCAAAATCCTTCTCTTCTGAATCAAATCAGTGGTCATCAAATCAATAAAACCCAGGGTCAGCAGTGGAAATTTTATCATCTCTAGGGGCTAGGATATGATTCCAGAGTGCACAAGGGCCACATTATGCATTGGTGGCTGCAGGAGAACTTGAATGGCGCCATCTAGAGCACAGAAGCTACCAGAAACAGTGCCAGGGAAGAGAAACTTGGGGTCCCTGCAAATCTACTGTCTAGGAACTTATTGTCAAATGTGGTTTATGTTATTATTCAAATCGTTACTCACATGCTTTGGATGTCCTTCTCAAGACTACTATGGCTTAAGACAACTATGGCTGGGGAAGCAAGAATTACAGTTTCAAATGCACCAGCCACATTCATTGGTCTAGATGGAATCCTTTGACTTAAAGCCCCAGCAGTGCCAAGGAAAATGCTCAGGACTGTGAACTATGTGTCACTCCCTTTGGACAGCTTCAGAATCTTCACCTCATCAATGCAATGCAGGATACCCACTGAAGTTATCTCTACATCAAGGGAATTTAGACTCAGCATCATGATGTCTCTGTTCAATCTGCTCCTAGCAGTTGGCACCATTGAAGGAAGTCCTTCCCAATTCCTGCTAGTGGATTTACATTTTCCATCTATTCCCAATTATTCTTGCCACTCTTTTTTGCCCTGTGGCCTGATGGAGAGCAGCCTTGAGACCTGCAACCCATTAGCCATTGGGGATATACTAAAATTTGTCTTGGCTTTAATTCTATTCCAAATTTGAGAGCCCTTTTGTATGTTGGCAAGTTCTGAGTCACCTGTTATGAGTCTCAAATTTGGAATCCCATTGTAGAAAAATAACTCCTTTTTAGTTCAGATAGAATTCTTCCAACTGGGCCAGTGTCTAATTAGGATTATTTTGATTATGCCCTTTACACCCATTTAAGCAAAATGCCTAAGTGTTGGGGGTTCACTAAACTTTAATAACAGCTCAAGGGCTATTTTTGTTTGTTTGTTTTCTATGTGCTCCAGGAGTCTTCCTCTGAGATTTCTCCAAGTTGCCCCACTGTTATAAAAATGTGTGCTGGTTTGGTGGCCAATGGAATCAACATTAAGAGACAGTTTTGTTGTTGTTTTGGTACTGGGGATTGAACCCAGGGTGCTTTATCACTGAGCTACAACCCCAGTTACTTTTTAATTTTTATTTTGTAGTTTGAGACAGAGTCTCACTAAGTTGTTTAGGGTTGTGTTAAATGGCTTAGGCTTGTGACCATCCTGCCTCAGCCTCCCATGCTGCTGGGATTACAGGTGTGTGCCACCTTGCCTGGCTAAGAGACAGTTTTTGAAAGTGCCTTCAAGATATTTAACACTTTTTCAAAATAACCCACAGATATCCCACTCTATGGTACTCTATTATTTAGAACAAAAAACAGCCCCAAACCAATCCCCTCCCTGTGGGCTGTCAGAGTTCACCCTGAGATTTGACATTCTTTTTGACATTCCATTTTTAAGCTAAAGGACTTCCGCAAAGTTTTTCAGGTGATCTGTTCAGCCAAATGGAATATATT